TTTTATTTATTTATTTGAGAGAGAGAGAGAATGAGAGATAGAAAGCACGAGAGGGAAGAGGGTCAGAGGGAGAAGCAGACACCCTGCTGAGCAGGGAGCCCGATGTGGGACGCGATCCCGGGACTCCAGGATCATGACCTGAGCCGAAGGCAGTCGCTTAAACAACTGAGCCACCCAGGCGCCCCCCCAAAAAAATAATATAATTTTAGATAGAAGTAAATGCTATGAAGACATTAACAGAGCATGAAACAGTGACTTGGTAATGATGGTAGGGAAGTACTTCAGCTAGGCTAGCCAGGAAAAGGCTGTGAGGAGGTGACATTTGAGCAGAGGTCTGAATGATGAGAAGAAGGTGGCCACATGAAAATCTGAGAGAAAAACATTTCATAAAGAGGGAACAGGTACAAAGGCCCTGAGTTGGGAATGAACTGGATATGTTCAAGGGTTAAAAAGAAGGCTGGTGTGGCTGAGTGTGGTAAATGAAGGAGAGAGTAGCAGGAAATGAAACTGGAGAGACTGGCAGAGGCTGAATCATGTAGGATCCTACAGGTCATCGAAGAAAATGTGCAATTAGAATGAAATCCACAGGGAAGCCATTGGAGAGCATCAGGCAGGAAAGTGACACTATTTATAATTTAATACATAAATTAACTATATATTTATTATATTGGACTGTATCTCTAAGGTCTCTTGCCATTTTAGCAGTCTAACTCTAGGTTATCTGCATCTGGGCTTTATTTTGGCTGAATTTCACAATTTTCCAACATTAATTTTGGTCTGAGACCTTCAACATTTGCTGGTAATCCATTGGGGGGAAGCATATTACCACTGTTTCTATAAAAAGTGCCCTTATTCTGTTACTGTTGGATCGAAAAAAGTGGTTAGTAAAGATAATTATCTTGAGTATTCTAATCTATAGGATGGGATAGGGGATATTTATAAGTTTGGATTCTCATATTATTTTCTTATCCAAATATATCCATTTTTTAGTATAGTGGTGGATTTTACTTTACCAGTGGAAGGGCAGAATAACATTTTCAATGACCCAGTGCCTAACATACAGGAGTTACTTAATAGATATTTTAAAACAGTCCATCCACTAAATAGGAACTGTTTCTTTTGGCTGAATTCAACACACACCACCAGTTTATGACCTTTGGTATGCATAATTTGTCATTTAAATTTAATAACCACTCAGTGGGTGTGTGTAGGGCTCCCACTGTATAAAACAGGAAACCTAAACTCAAAGCAAATCACATTGTTCCCTATGTAATCCTGAAAGCATTTACATGAGGTAGTCATGTTTCTGATGAAACAGAAGGATAGTGACTTACCCACCTCCCTATTCCCTTACCCTACTTCCATTTTCCTACTAGAATTTATCATTTCTGAATATAATATAAATCTGTGTATTTGTTTATCAGCTCTGCTAGAGTATGCACTCCATGAGGGGAGGAGCTGTATAAGTTCTCTCTTCCTATATAACCAATCACTCCAAAACTCGGTGCCTTAAAACAAAAAACACTGTCTCGCTGTTCCGTGGGTCAGGAATTCAGAAGCAATCTAGCTCCAAGATTTCAGCCTAGATTCTCTCATGAGATTATAGTCAGATGTCAAGCTAGGGCTGCAGCCATCTGAAGGCTTGGCTGGAGCTGGGATATCTGCTTCAAAGATCACTCATGTGGCTATTGGCAGGAAGCCTTATTTTCTCACTATTTGGGCCTCTCCTCATGACAGGACAGCTGGCTTTCTCTACTGTGAACAATTCAAGAGAGAAAAAGAAGCAAAAGCCTTTTAGATATAAAACATCTTTTACAGCATAACATGGAGGTGACAGAGTACTGCTGTATTCTCTTGGTGACACCTCTTCTGGGATGTTGTGGGAGGGGTTACACAAGGGTATGAATAACTGGCGGTGGCTTTCATTGGGGTCATCTTGGAGGCTGGCTGTCACAGGTACTTCTCTGGTTTACTATAATAGTAATATTACTACTAATAATATTACTATAATAGTAATAATAGTAAACTAGAGAAGAGTATAGTAAGCATCAAGAAAGAGTACCTTGCATATAGAAGGTGCTTAAATATTTGTTGAATGAGTAGGTAGATTTAGAGTACATACGAATTCAAAATGTATGTCTTTAGAAAAACAGCATTCATGGAGCCGTAAGTTGTTGGAGAGGGACATGGAAGAGGAGTACTAAAATAAAAGTTATTGTCAGTTGTAAATAGTAAGGGGAAATAACTCTGTTTTTTATTATATCCCTCAGATGTGGAAACATGAGGGATTTTTTGCACTCTATAAAGGATTTTGGCCAAACTGGCTTCGACTTGGACCCTGGAACATCATTGTATCCTTTTAGAATATGACAATGAAATCAGATGCTTCAAGCTCCCAGGTAATTCTAGATTATGGGAAGGAAAATTTCATTATTGACACCTTTAGGCAAGTGAGAAACTCAAGCATTCTAATTGTGACCATTGAGGATGGAACTAATAGAGAAATGACTTTCAGCTGGAGTCTAGTACAAACTGAAGGCAGCAGAAAAGATATACCAAAATTTCCTCTTTAAAACAAAACAAGTACAACCAAATCTGGAAGGGGTTATGAAGTTTTTGGAAACCCTGTTGGGATTTGCCCTAGGAAAGTGCATGCTGAGGTGGTCCATATTTCCTACTCCTAACGATAGGACCAAAGTAATGGGAAATAATAAGACAGAAAACACTCTTAGAGCAAAGGAATCCAGGCCAAGTAGGGCTCTTTCCTCATGGGTGGATCTCCTTTCTTTAGCCGTGTTTGAGTGCCTCTGTGCAGAGAGATGACTTGGATATTGTGTGTAGTTTATGTGTATAGTGGTGAGTATTGCAGGGTTGAAAAATAATTCCTTGCCCTCGCGGAGACTATAGGTTGGTGGAGATAGTATCTCTTCTCCCTCCTTGGGATTGATCTAATCACCTAAAGTCTGTAACAGTTACTCTTAGCATGGAATTATATGTTGTCATTAATATTCTTCGGGGTGGAGGTGGTGGTGGTGGTGGGTGTGTGTGTCTGTATGTGTCCTGTTTGCCCCTGAAGACGATAAGTATGTTAGTTTTAATCTGTTTTTATTGCTACATGCCAAATCATAATGGGGACATGGTGGGCACTCAGCACATGCTTGACTTGCCAGGTATTGTTTTTAAAAAGACTTGAGCAAGTGCAACTCAGAAGAGCCCAGGCTAAATACCTCAATGTAAGAGAATGTAGTACACAATTTTAGAACTTGGTTAGGTTTTCACTATCAATCCAGTGATCTTCCATGACTTACTCTTCAGTTTTTTATTACATACGAGCAGCTCAAGAGGCTTCAGATCTAAGGACTGAATTATATGTGAGGCAAGCCCTGCCAACCTTTCTACTCTTTTCCCTTTTTCTGTGTTCTAATGTATTTTGACAAAGTTGTGTTTACTGAACCACTGGTCTCCCAGGAGCCTCCTGATGGAAGAACTATAGGATGGTTCAAAATTGTTCATGTGTTTGTGTTACCATGTTAACTTTTTCCCTGAGAGGAAGTGTTAACATTGAGACTCTGGCCCCAGATTGGTATCTTCTATGAAGATGGATACTGATGGATGACATTCAACATGGCCTTCTTTTCAAATGTTGGTTAAATGTAGTTGGTTAGCCCCAGACTTGGGCTAGAGCAGAAGGCATAGGCCAGGGCAGTTACTGCTATGTATGTTTCAGACCTCGGTTCTCATTAAAGTATTTATTGGCAGAATCACTTTGGCTTTGTTTTCATTTACTGCTTTCTCTTTTGCCAGCTATTTAAGTTACATTCTCCAGAAAGTGATAAAGGTTACTATGAAATTGAGTCTGGACTCTTAAAGCACATTTATGGGAATAGACAAAGTGCATTGTGTTTTCCCACTGCCACTCGTCATAATGCTACTTACTTGTAAACATCTGGTAAATGGTTCTTTCCTCAGCATGAATAACCAAACAAGTGGCTCATTTGGAAGTTTCTACAGATTAAATGTAAAAAGAGGCTTAAAATAGAACCCTGTGTCCAGGGTTCTAATTGTCTCATAGGCAAAAAGTTTTGGCTACTTTCTTGTACTAGAAAAGTGCCTAGCACGTTGTAGGCACTCAAATATTTGTGGATGGAACTAGAGGGTATTGGGTATTACGCTAAGCGAAATAAGTCAATCAGAGAAAGACAAGTATCATATGATCTCACTCATGTGGAATTTAAGAAACAAAACAGAGGATCATAGGGGAAGGGAGGGAAAAATAAAACAAGATGAAATCAGAGAGGGAGACAAACCATTAAGAGACTCAATCATAGGAAACACTGTCATATGTGTAATATAAGAAACATTGCAGAGGATCATAGGGTAAGGGAGGGAAAACTGAATGGGAAGTCATCAGAGGGAGACAAACCAGGAGAGACTCAACTCTAGGAAACAAACAGGGTTGCTGGAGGGAAGGGGGCTGGGGTGATTGGGTGATGGACATTAAGGAGGGCACATGATATGGGTGTTACACGCAACTGATAAGTTATTGAGCGCTACATCTGAAACTAATGATGTACTATATGTTGGCTAACTGAATTTAAATAAAATAAAAATTTTTAAAAATTTAAAAAAATCATAGGAAAGAAACTGAGGGTTGCTGGAGGGGAGGGTTACTGGAGGGAGGGGAAGGTTGCTGGATGGGATAGCTGGGTGGTGGACATTGGGGAGGGTGCATGATGTGGTGAGCACTGGGTATTTATATAAGACTGACGGATCGCTGAACTCTACCTCTGAAACTGGTAATGCAGTGTATGTTAATTGAAATTAAATTTAAAAAATTAAAAAGTATTTGTGGAATGAATAGTTTAGCTCTTCATCTTTATCCATTCATTGATTTGTTCAACAAACATTTATTGTGTGTCTATTATGTCCTAGATGCTGGGAATATAAAAGTAAGGTAAGAGATAGTCTCTGTTTTCAAGCTCACATTATAGGAGGAGAAAGAGATATGTAAGTAGATAATTATAGTAGGTACTAAGTACTATGTGAAAGATGAACAAAGTGCTAGAAGCACAGAGAAGGGAACAGCCAGTTACCTAGGGGATTGGCCAAAGGCTTCATAGCAGAGATGACATTTGAGGTAAATAGCAGATGTTACCATATGGATAAGGCAGGGAAGGACATTCCAGGCAGGGAAATAGGGGAAAGTTCAGTGTAGCTAAAATGTAGGGCAGTGGTTTTCAAATACTATGTGAGGCAGAATCTCCTGGAGATCTTGTGAAAATGTAGATTCTTACATTCCATTACCCTCTTAACCTTATCTGGGGCAAAGGCATTTGCTTTCATCACGGGTACTTGACACAGATGGTCCTTAGACTACACTTTGGGAAGCACTTGTACAGAACTGTGGGCTGGAATGAAATGAAATAAGAATAGTGTGACCAAAAGGGTCAAATTATGAGGGATCTTTACATGTACTAGGAAAGAGTTTGACTTTTTTATCCTGGAGTGGGGGGTAGGCAAAGGAAGTTAAAAATAGAGGAATAATATAACCAGCTTTTAATTTTAGGAAGATAACCCTGTTGTGGAGGGTAGCCTGGAGGGGAGCAACCCAAAAAAGGTTAAGACCCACTGAAATCTACTCCTTTTTATATACAGGTAGATAAAATATGGTCCACAAAAACGAAGACAGTTTGTCCTAAGTCACATAACTGGATTGTGGCAAATTTGAGACTAGTGCATAGTTCTCAGATTTCTTCTTTGTCTCATTCTACCACTCCATAGTGCCTTCTTAACTATCAGTCTAAAGTACTGATTTTTAAAATTAAGTTTAATATACTTTATTTTTATTTTTTTAAAGATTTTATTTATTTATTTGACAGAGAGCATGCACAAGCAGGGGGAGCAGCAGACAGAGGGAGAGGGAGAAACAGGCTTCCTGACGAGCAGGGAGCCTGATGCGGGGCTCGATCCCAGGACCTGGGATCATAACCTGAGCCGAAGGCAGTGGCCCAACTGACTGAGCCACCCAGGCGCCCCAAATAGACTTTATTTTTAAAAGAAGTTTCAGGTTCACAGCAAAATTGTGTGGAAGGTACAGAGATTTCCTGTGTACTCCTAACCCTACATAATGCACAGCTTCCTTCCTTTGAAATTCATCACCAGAGTGATTCATTTGTTACAGTTAGTGACTCTACAATGGCATATTATTATCACCCCAAAACCATTATCTACATTAGGATTCACTCTTAGGGTTATGCATTCTGTGGGTTTTGATGTATGACATGTATCCATTGTTCTAGTATACAGAATCGTTTCACTGCCCAAAAAATCCTCTGTGCTCTGCCTATTTATCCTTCCCTCTCCCCCAACCCCTGCAGTCCACTGACCCTTTTATTATCTCTATATTTTTGCCTTTTCCAGAGTGTTAGTGGTATGTAGCCTTTTGAGATTGGCTTTTTTACTTAGTAATATGCACTTAAGTTCTTGTCTTTTCAAGCCATGTCTTTTCACAGCTTGATATCTCACTTTCTTTTTCTTTTCTTTTGGATGTACCACAGTGTATTTATCCATTTACCTACTAATGCATGTCTTGGTTGCTTCCAAGTTTTGGCATTTATGAATAAAGCTGCTATAAATAAATATTCATGTGCAAGTTTTTGTGTGGACACAAGTTTCAACTCATTTGGGTAAATACCAAGAAGTACAATTGCTGGATGGTATTGTAAGAGTATGTTTAGTTTTGTAAGAAACTGCCGAACTGTCTTCCGATAGTAGCTGTACTATTTTGCATTCCCACCAACAATGAACAAGAGTTCCTCTTTCTCCACATCCTTACCAGCTTTTGGTGGTGTCAGTGTTTTGGATTTTGACCATTCTTTTAGGTGCATAGTGGTATCTCATTTTTTTTTTCTTATCAGTTGTCACTTTAAAAAGTTTTTTAAAGTTTTTAATTTTAATTTCAGGATAGTTAACATACAGTGTTATATTAGTTTCGGGTGTACAATATAGTGATTCAGTAATTCTATACATTACTCGTTACTCATATGATGAGTGTACTCTTACTCCTCATCACCTAGTCCACCCATCCCCCCACCTCCCCTCTGCTAACCATCAGTGTGTTCTCTAGAGTTAAGAGTCTGTTCCTTGGTTTGTCTCTTTCTTTGTTTTGTCCTTTGTTCATTTGTTTAGTTTCTTAAATTCCACATATGAGTGGAATTGTATGGTGTTTGTGTTTCTCTGACTGACTTATTTTGCCTGGCACTATACTCTCTAGCTCCATCCATGTTGTTGCAAATGGCAAGATTTCATTCTTTTTTATGGCCGAATAATATTCCATTGTGTACATATACTTTTTAAGACTACCCCACTAGTCAGATACCCTACTCATTCCTGAGTAGATTAGCAAAAAGGAAGTCATTTTTTTCACAAGGGTATAGACTGAAAGGTAGTTTCTTAAAGGGTTTATATATATATTTTTTAAGATTTATTTATTTGAGAGAGCGAGAATGAGAGAGAGAGAGTACGAGAGGGGGGAGGGTCAGAGGGAGAAGCAGGCTCCTCGCCGAGCAGGGAGCCCGATGCGGGACTCGATCCCGGGACTCCGGGATCATGACCTGAGCCGAAGGCAGCCAGCCGCCCAACCAACTGAGCCACCCAGGGTTGATATATATTGGAAATTGGCATTCTATTCACCTCAGCTTAAATGTTATTCCTTTGGGGAAACCTTACATTGATTTTCTCTCTACCAATCTAAATTTCTTCATTATAGTTCTTATACCACATATTTATAACTACATACTATTATTTGTGTGATTATTTAATATCAATATCTCCCGTTAGTCTGGAAACTCCATAAAAATAGGGATTCTGTTGATTTTGTTTACTGCTGTTCTCCATGCCTAGCACATATACTCAGTAAATATTTGTTGAATGAAAAAATGAATTTATCTGTATCCAAAGAACTGATAAAATGCCTAAAACATGGCAAAGATTAAACAAATACTGTGGGATTTAAATGGAATGAAATTGTTTTGAATTACTAGATAAGGATGGAATGATAAAGAATAGGTTATTAAGGATAAATAGAGGTGCTTGGGGAGGGAGATGCACCTAATCTTTTGTTTATTGTTGTTACTGTTATTTTATATAATAAAGTAGTCTCCATCCCCAGTGTGGAGCCTAATGCAGGGCTTGAACTCATGACGCTGAGATCAAGACCTTAGCTGAGATCAAGAGTTGGATACTTAACCCACTGAGCCAGCCAGGTGCCCTGATACACCTAATCTTTTTAATTGATTATCTGTTCATTCATTAAACAAATATCCCTGCCTCATTAAGCTTACTGTGTACAGAAGGGAGATATAACAAAAAGATTAATGAGTAAAATATATAGTTTACTGGATGGTGATAAGTCATTTATAGAAAAATAAAGCAGGGGAGGGGGAATATTGGGGCAAGGTCACATACCGAGAAAGCCAAATTTAAGTCTATAGGGGGTGAGAAAAGGAGCCATTCTAGGGTTAAAGCAAATGCAAAGGCTCTGAGGTGAGAGTCTACGTGGAGTCTAATGATTCAAGCAAGAAGTGATGGTGGCTTGGATGAGGGTAGCAGCAGTGGAGGCTGTGAGAAGTGGTGGAAATTCATATATTTTGGAGAAGAGCAAATAATGACCCGCTAGGGCATAGGTTGTGGGTTGTAAGAGAGAAAGTGAGCAGTGGTAAGGATTACTCCAAGGCCCAAGTCTCTAGAAGGGCAGTAT